GGGGGGGGGGGGGCAGTAAGGGCTACAGTATATGCCGAGAGAAGTCCCGAATATCCAAAGAATAGGTAACAATGACATTCTAAAAATCGTAAATATAGTTTTCTCTAGGGGACAGTTGTCCCCCTGCACCCCACCCCACCCGCTGTGTACGGCCGTATATCTTTGCATGCATGAATAGAGCTTCTTGAAGTCTTATCATGCATTCCTAATACGCATACATGTACCGTAGGATCAAGTACTGTTTTAAATTTGTTGATAAATTCTTCTTTAGGGAAAATAAATCGGATGAATTGTATAACGATGTGTATGAGCATGCAATTGGGTCCCCATTAAATCCAATTAAGATCCCTTACAACACGGATGTCATTTACGAGGAGCCGTATGAGGTAAAAATTAAGTTTCCATTAAATACATAGTGGATATTGTGTCTAATTTATGAGCTGTGTTCGGCATGCACTCTTGTAAATAGTTTTTCTTTGTTTCTATAGGTATTTTCTTGTAATATATATATATACCCAGTTAAGTACCCATAATGTAGAATAATGAATAAAAAAAATACTCGAACTCTAAAGTTTGTAAACCAGGAAGGTGTTTCTTTTCCAACAAACTAAAAATGGCTTCAATCAAAATTTAAAAGCCTCAATCGTATTTTGAGTTAATGAATGGAAAATTTGTTGGGTTTTTAATTACTGTAAAAAATTTCAGACAATTTTCTTCAGTTTTAGCCATTCAACTAATCATTTTTCCCTAAAATATCAGCCTTTTGTATGCTTAATTAATGCGTTTACCTAATTTGCATATTGCGGCAATATGCAAATTAGGTGAAGGCATTAATTAAGAATGCAAAAGGCTGATATTTTAGGAAAAAATGTAAGTTTGCGTGAGTTCTTAAAGGGCTTTAACTGAAGAAAATGATCTGAAATTTCGTGCAGCGATTAAACACCCAACACGTTTTTCACCCATTAACTCAAAATACGATTAAAGCTTTTAAATCTCGTGCGCAAGGCATTTTTAGTTTGTTGAAAAAGACACACACACCAGAAATGTTTTCATTATTCTACATTAACCCAAAGAAGCTATATAAACTGAGTACTAATATAGCTATCTTGCGAAATTGGGAGCAATTTCAAATTTGTTCATTTTTTTATACACCCTGAATACATATAGCTGCGCATTAACTGCAGAATGCAAGCTTTTTGACAGTCAACGCATTCTTACGCTTATTATTGCATTTTTCGATTTTGGTCCTATTATATGATTTTTTGTTTAGGGAACACAACAAGTGGCTGTGTCCGGTTCTAATAATCTTTATGCTGCTCTTAAACCGCACAGGTAATTATATAGAAATAAAATTTTAACATATACCTAGCAATGAAACGAATGAGTGTTTTGGCAATTCTATAAGAATGATTGAAATACCAAGATAAGAAATACTATAAGATAAGAAATAATTTTATTCACATAGAAAAGCAAATTTGCCTGTTGTTTTAAGAATGCAGAATTTGGCTTCCATCTTCACATATGGCATGCAGGCTTTGAAATTTTGACTATATGTGTATATGGGTCACTTGAAGTTAAACACACACATCTATATTATAATTTATTATAAAGAATTTAAATGAAACGTACTAGAAATAAGATCATGCAGTTGACCAACATCGAACGATATACAGTACAGTATACGATGGGAAATTATACTACAGATTGCTCTGTAAATAAGACAAATTTTTCAATTTCGTTGTTTTTTAAAGTTTATCTAAGTCAGGGGATCAAAGAAACCGTGAAGTCTCATATAGCCGCTATGACAAACATACTCAATATTTAGAATTAAAAAATAGCCAACTTTACTTTCAACTGTAACAATATAGTAACTGTATATATTCCCATATCATTCAGGTTTGATGAATACTTAACGATTTTCTATTGGTATCTAGACAATGTTTTTCAATAACGATTCATCATGAGTGCTCTGGTTAATTTACCGGGGAATTAAACACGCTGTATCAAGAAAAGGCGCCGTGTTTTTAATGTAACTAATGCGCATTCCATTACTGAAATAAACGAGCCAAATGTCAGACACAGAGCACAAGAGAATGTCTTTGAGTATTTAGCTGTACGTGTCATATTCTGCAGAGAAACAACTATATAAACAGTTATTATTAAATCACATTTCAAATTGCTATACATGCAAGCATGCATAAGCATGCATCCTAAACTAAAGCTGGAATTTGCAACATTTGACTCAAGCTTTGCCTTGGCATTGGATTACATTGTCTTGTATCACAGGGAGCTCAACTACTGTCAGTAAAAGTATAAAATAATCAATATAATAAACTTACTTTAAAACTTGTTTGCATATATTCTTTGCAACAACATCGAATATTAATAGAGAAAGAGCAAAACATTATCTATATGCATGACAAGGCATTTTTTAATACCATGGACTGGTGGGGCATTTACCCCACTGGGCCCCTTCCTTTGCCCCACCACTGAAGAAAAAAAATGGCCTATTGCCCCAAAGTCAGAGCCCTATGACCTGTATTGAGTAAATGAGTTTAACATTGAAATTGAGAAGTCTAAAAAACAAAATTTGTTGGTGAGCATACTTGAACTTATGTTGTGTTTGAATGTTTAGCATGAAATTTATTAATTTCATTACAACTTTGTTTTGAGAAGCTGAGATTTTTTTAAAATGTGTTCTCAGAATGCAGGAAATGATATTTCAGAGACCCATATTTTAAAAATTTCCAGGGGTACATGCCCCTAAACCCCCCTAGCTAACTCGGGCCTGCGGTACTCGGCTCGCACCTTCGGCGATCGCATACTGTCTTGGGGGGAGGACAGGGAAAATGGGCCCTTTGGAAGTTTTGCCCCACCACCGAAGAATCCTTAAAAAGTGCACTGATGCATTAAGTACTAGCGAAACCTCGCAGGTAAGTAATGCGGGCACGTATGAGATAGTAGCATAATTAATATAATACATCAATTAATAGGAAGGGCTGAAACACCGGTGACATGATTGTTCGATGTTTACCAAGAGTAGCCTATCCACTCGGAGATTTCCGATCGCAGTTTAGAAATGCATTTCAAAGCTTTTTGATTTTATAGAGCAACTTCTGATTATTTACGTTTGTAAAAACTTGAAACTATAGTGTATACCGGCGCCAATAAATCACTTATTTTTCGAAATCTGAATGCAAATCCTAGCGAGTGCCGGACTTCATCCGACTGGATAGGCTGCTCTTGGTAGACATATCGCGAAAATTGCGAAGAAAACCTGCTGTTAAAAATAATTTAGGGAAAGGTTTATCTATGTTATTTTTTCACTAGATATCTTTGCTCGTCTAAGAGAATGCTAAATACGATGTAAAATAATCCAATGATGTCGAAACGGTTAGATTAGAAGCATTTTAAAAAATCACGTGACCGATGTTTCAGCCCTTCCTATTAATTTATCTATTATATGAATTTTGTTATTACCTATCATACGCGCCCGCATTACTTACCTGTGAAGTTTTGAATGTACTTCATATAGACCGTTTTTTGCTCTTTCTCTATTCGATGTTGTTGCAAAGAATATATGCAAATTAGTTTTAATGTAAGTTTATTATGTTGATTATTTTATACTTGTTACTGACAGTAGTTAAACCCTCTGTGATTGTATATCAAAAAATCTTGGCCTGATAAATCATGAAGCCTTAAAGCCTTGGCATGATAAATCATGAAGCCACTGAATAAAACTTGTTTTTATAGACAAGTGCATGCGGCTGTATATCGATATGACGTTTAAGTTATGGATTTTCAATTTCATATTGGACTTTGTATCGTCTCCCTTGCAGTTAATGTTTGTTGTTCTTGGGAACGAACGAAACAATGAGCGCATGAGAAGAAGACAAGACCTTATGATGTTATCATGTTGTCCCGGCGTATATGCACTTGTCTATATATATATATATATATATAACCTCAGAACAGCTGGTCGGGATAGAGTTTTGATATCATGCATGCGCTATGCTTTCTTTTCACCTTCCTGGGAATTTTAAAATTTTCCCATGGAAAAGTTCCGGACCATTTAAAGATACCCTACTACGTACCTTTCAAAATCGTCAAAAGAAATTCATATAATATTTCGTTTTACGTTTGCTTGCAATTGTCTGTAAAAGGTAATAGTTCTGACAATTCAACGCTCATTCAATAGTATATCTTCTGTTTTAGTGAAAGAACAGAAGAGAACAAATATCAAAGTTTAATTGATGTAAGTCCTCATTCGGCGTCCAAAAATGATTCTAACTTCAACGTGGTAACCATAGAGGAAGTAATTGAACCAGTTAGCGAAGGAAATGCAGGAAGTTCTGAGACGACGGATCGAAATTGTGAGATGGAAGTCTCTGTAGGCATGGGTAGACCAGGTTATGTTGAAAGACTTCGTGAATCTTTCCTGCGAAAGACTTATAATTAAATTTAGATAAACACAAATTAATG